GACTGAACAAACCTGCATGACCAAAAGTGGGAAGATTTGTAACTCTTCAAAATGTAAAGAGAACAAGATATTTAATAATTGTCTTTTGATTTGGAAGATTCTTTTTCTGTTTTTATCGGAAAGAATTAATTTGTAGGTCTTATAGACCCTTGGAAATGGCTTTTAGATATTGTTCAATTCATGGCACTGAAAAACCTCCGTGTTCATTACTTGTATCTTACAGAACAGACAATGGTAGAGTGAAAATGTGAACAAGAATAGCGTTATGAATGATTCTTCTCTTCCTGCTTAGCACTGTTCCTGATGTAAAGCTGTCCATCACCAGATTCTTGCTAAACTTACTGTGTGGTCATGCTGCAGTTTTAGGCTAACACTGAAGGCACATTAGTTTCTGGCTTTGTTAGAGTGTAGTTTTGCACATTGTCCTTCATGTGTAGTGTGTCACTGTAATCCACAGCTCATCTCTTTCTCTGTTACTTAAATGAGTGTCTTTATAATTGCCTGGCTTGCTTGTTCCTTACCTATGATCATAGAATCATAGAATGGTTTGGGTTGGAAGGGACCTCAAAGATCATCGAGTTCCAACCCCCCTGCCATGAGCAGGGACACCGTCCACTACACCAGGTTGCCCAAAGCCTCCTCTTTTAATCTTTTTTGGATGTTTTTTTGCTCGCATACAAAAATGTAAATTTCCATGGTGAGCAGAACTGTTACATTTCAGAGTTCAGGACGAAAGGGATAATTTCCTTTGAGTGTGATTTTGCAGTATAGAATTTTTAATCACCTATACACTTTGTATAAGATAATGGTTAGCATTTTATTTTATGACATTAATTTAGTGATTGTTAAGTATAGAAGCAGCACTGTTTCTCTAGTGTTTTTTATGTCCTATTAGAAGGTATCTGAATTTAATTCCACTTGCGGTAGCTCTTGCCTTTCTCCATGTTACCATGTTGTCCTTGAAAAAGATTTCTAATCTCTAGACACTGGAAATACTGTTAATTAAGTAGGCATTTAAAGGGAAACTAATCACGTGGGTATTTTGAAAATAGTCGACTTCCTAGGCATGTGAACTTGCTGTCTCTGACAGCACTGAGCACACGTTTGTGCAAATACAGCCTACAGACTTCTGCCAGTGCACCGCTGGTGGCAGTGGGGATGGAAGTTGTTGCATTTATTCCTTCCTGTAGTGGATGGTAAACAGAAATTTTTTTTCATATTTCCACCTTGTTGGTATACCTTTCTTTGCTGAGCAGCATCTCTCTGAGAGGGAATGTCTACAATCAATGATGATTTGGCTGTTTGATGGTTTTCTTCAGTTTCCCTTGGTTTGATCACATTAAAAAAAAAATCTCAATTTCCCAATCTTTTAACATGGTTGGTTTCTTTAATAAAGGCATTTTGAAATCAGAGAAGCAGTTCTATAACCTAAATTATTACTTCTCTGTAGAAATACATTAATACTTAGAGAATGTTTGCAGTAGGACTAGGATAGATGAGCCAAGACCAAAGGAGGAGATTTTCTATGTGTTGCCATAAGTAGCACAGTAGCTGGACCCACCCAAAGAAGAGCTATTGGAGACAATTTGTAGGAAAGGAGACTTTAGAAGAAAACTGTATTGAGGAGGGAAAACTCACTAAAAAGGAGGATGTAGTGAAATGTAAGATAAATAAGGAGAAAATTACCATACACCTTCCTGTGTCTCATCTAATGGTTGGCTTTCTGCTCCCTATTTATGCTTCAATATTGCTTTAGCGCTAATCAATACAAAACAGCAACGTTTGGATTTTTCCTGCCACACAAATTATAACTTTTCACGTAATTTTATTTACATTCCATAAAGAGCTTTTTTTTTTTTAAAAAAAATCTTCTATTTTAAGGCCAAATGGATATTCCTGATAGTGTGCTTAAAGGCCTTTCAGTCCTAGGAAAGATCCAAAGACTGGAAAATCATATTCAGCATCAGTGGGTACCAATGAAAGCCTGGTTAGTGGCACAAGCTATCAATAGCATCTTTTTATTGCTCACAGTAATGAAAGTAATATGTGTAAACACGCGCATATATATTTAAAAATGTATATAACACATACGTCGCTGTGTATTAAATAGTCTGAAGTACACAAAAAGTGGCAGATTTGAGTTGTTGCCTAGAGGTACTTTGTGTTGTCTTGAATGGCTTTCCAGTTTCTTTTCATGAATAGTTTGTACGAACTGTTTTTGAGGAAGCCTGAAGAAAGACGCACTTGGATATGTGAAAAACTGGAGTTAGGAGTGTGCTGTGGGAGCTCATTAATGATTCAGGATGGTTGGTTTCAGTTTCCCCGGCTTCCTTTCGCAAGGCAAGATTCCATCAATACTTTTCTTTCAAGGTCACAACTGCTGATAGGTCTCTGTCCTTCTCACAACCCTTCCCCAACTGTATGAGTGTTTTGGAGGATTTAATTACTAGTTCAGTCGAGGTTGTCATCAGTAACTCTTAGCATAGTCAGGCTCGGACAGAAAGCCATTTTATTACAGGAGAGGGCTCTGCCCTTGTCCAAGTACAGGGTTGCTGTGCTCGTGAATGGCTTCATGTCAGTCACAAAAGAGACTTCCACTCCTCCTTTCCTATCCCCAGTAATCCTGTGGTTGCATTGTGGACAGGAAAGCTGTGAAAGAGCGGTATAGCATATCTCAGATACTTGATTTCGCAAGATTTGTAAAGTGGAGTTGAGTTTGACCAAGTTAAGTTTCTGTTGTTGTGAGGGAGAGGATGTTCCCACAGCATGGCCGATGATACTTCTTAGTGTGTTTTGGCAATTTGTTTCCCAGAACTGCAAGTGAAAGGTGTATCTAAAAAACTATTTAGATTTTTCGTGGGGGTTTTTTGTGTACTTTTTTGGTACATTTTTTGGTACTTTTCCTCCCTTTAGAAATCAGTTCAGCGTGGACAAAGTAACTCAGTAACTAACCTCACTTCCTGAAGTTATATTGTAAATCCTGAGGGGAGTACCAGATTCAGTATTTTAATTGCAGGAAAGGAAACAATGTTCCTCTAATGGGGGTGGAAACCTTTGTCCCTGTAAAATAGCTTTCCTGTTTTGAGAAGTATCATAAGCTGTCACTCACTAATACAGAAGAATGTCTTAATATCTTAGTATCTTTTGTTTGGAATTCTGTTAGAGTGTTCTCTCAGCCAAGCATTTTCTTTCTGAACAGGCTGCTAAAAACCAGTTTTGATGCTTGTCAAGAGGCAAGCAAGGCTGCCTGTCCATACTAAGTTGCTTCAATTTTCACATAAACATCATATTGCTGACAGAGTCTGCTTTTTGAAATTTAAATTCTATATTTTAAAAGTGGTATTTAAGTTCTGTTAACTTGAGTAGAATTAGATGGATGTATTTGTAGGAGCCAAAAAAGCTTAGTATAATTTTTAAGTTGACTGAAAAATCGAAAATAAAATTTAGGGCATCATGTTTTCCTTCTCCTGCTTTTTAGGAAAATCTGGGAAGGGTAAATGTCTGAATTCATAATAGAATTCGAAGTTATCATAACAATTTCAGGAGCAAGCTCTTGGAGGTCAACTTTATTGTAGAATATTATGAACACAATTAATCATGCTTGTTGAACATGATGGATGCAGATTTGCTGTGGGTTGTAATCCCTAATCAGTCAAAGAATATCCACAGTTCATTTTGCTTATTCTACTGACATTATATTTAATATGGCGCAAATCAGTTTTGTATATGTTCTGTTGATTTTATACTGTTCATAAAATGCTAGTAACAGAAAATCTATTCCTTTTGCTTTTTTATGTGGGACTAATACCTTAATATCCATAGAATTTCCAAGGAAAGACCTGTTCAGTAACTCATGTGAAATGTGTTGGAGGGAATTTGTATATACATATATATAATTGTGCAGCTACACAAATTTCCAAGTGGTATAATTTAAGTAGATGATTTAAGTTGAGCTCTGCCATTTGGCTGGGGCTTCCTTTTGTATGTTTTTTATTTTTAGATATTTGTCCCTATGTTGAATTCATAATGCATATCCAGGTCTGCTGGCCACAGATCTGTTGCCTTTGCGTGTGAAGTTAATTTTTTTCATGTTGCAAAGAATACTCAGCACTGATATCTGAAAACTCATGACAAAGAGGCTTGAATTTACAAATCTTTTGTTTATGTTTATTGTGATGCCTCATGCTGAAATACCTTGGACTAGAATAGGAGGAGATGTGGAAATCTGTTGTTTTGCTACAGTGGTACCTGCTGCCTTACCAGAAGCAGTGAAGGAACACCGAGGTCTCTGGCACAACAGACAGCAACTTGCAGAAGCTTTAGGCAATGCAAGTTGGTTAGAAGTTAATTTCAGTACTGGGAGTAAGAAGTAGGGCCAGATGCTGAGCAAGCTGTTTTGATGTTGGGTCTTCTGAGGATTCTTTAATGCAGTGAATTACTGACTTGGCTGTTAATGAACCAGGGTTTTGTCTGTATACAATCCCCAACAAAAGCAAAATCCCCAGACGCATACTGTAAGATCCAAGCAAAAAAGTGCTCCATGCAGTATGACAAAGTGTTGACCCTTGACATCAGTGGGGGCTATCTTGATGTACATCAAGTTCATCTGTTCGGTCAAAGGATATACACAAAGAAGAATTTGGCCAGTGACTGAAGAATATTGCTTGCCATAAAGCATGATACTACAATTTTTTCATAAATACTTGTAAGCCGTGCATATTTTTATAGCTCTAAAACACATGTATGAGCTGTGTCTGGTAGAGTCCAGTCCAAAAAATATCAGTTAATAGTGACGGCTCTTCCCATGGTATGGATTGTTAACTGTGAAAAATGTGAACTGGCAAAAATCTAGAAGTATCACAGTGGATGTTTTTTCTCCTGCAGAGTAGGATGGAAAATAAAGCAATTGGTGAAGAAATACAAATATAAAAAATAGTAGAATTGGCAATTGCAAATCAAACCCTTGATAATTGCATTAATGGTAATGCATTCCATTCCAGTTCATGGTGAAGTAAAAGGAGTTGGTCTGGTAGATCAAATATGGCTTTCATTGCAAGACTGCGACAATGAAGGTGAGATGATAAAGCTATTCGGACTCCTAACCTATAAAGAGCAAAGACTATTGTTTTTAAATATACCTGATGAATTTACAGAATTATTTATTCTTAGAACAGATGTCATTATAAAATACTACATTTGTTTTCAGTTTTATTTCCAGGACCTCTCTTATTACATATATGTATATGTACATGTCTACATACATTTTTAGTTGAAAAAATATGTATTATGTCAAAATTGTGAAAATTTAGTGATGCATGCTAGGTTCCCTATAAATCTGGGAAATTATTTTTGCGTAACTATCAGGGCTTTGAATAGAGCTTGAAAGGGATTTTATTCTATTGAGATATTTGATAAATTGGGATGAAATAAAAAACAATGTGAGATTTTAACTTGCTGTCTTGTTTTGCTCATTACAAATACATTGTGAAGCAATTGGTAAGAATCCATTTGCTGTAAGCAAACCCAGCTGTATATCTAGGGAAAAGTCCCAAATACCATGTTTAGACTAGAGTTTTTAGATGAGTTGATTTTGATTTTTTGTGTTTGTTTTTTTTTTTTTTTAAGTTTGCTTACATGTTTTCAATCATCATCTTTTTTTCCAGTCCAGACAACAGTAAAATCACAAGAGCTTTCAAGTACCTGTTAATACATTTTTCAGACAAAATGTCAAAAATTGCTTTCTGTTCCATCAATATTGATTCATGGCACCAAGCCTAAATAATGAGAACTGGCCAAATACCAGACTTTTGCGTCCTACATTAACAAAACTGGTACAATTATTTTGAAAATTATTTAACCAGTTGCAATACTAGCATGCGTTTCATGTAACTGACACACCTCTTCCATTGTACTATACATAATCAGGAATAACTCCATTCGGTATTATCTGTTAAGTGGTTTCCCTGGAGAGTAGGCACAGTGTGTGGTTTGCATGTACTGTATAATTTCACTTGGTTCTGGGGCAAAGCACAGCAGTGATTGAGGCTACCAGTATGCCATCAAAGCAAATGAGGCTAGGGTACGTTCTCTGGCCCATAGAGAAAGGCATAGATTGTGTCCATGCCTTTAAAACTCTCTTCTCCCTCATCCCTAAAATAAGGTGGTCTTCTCCCTGCTGTGTATTGCAAATAGTTCCTGACCTATGCTCTATTTTGAGCCATACTGGGACATTATCTGGGAGACTGCTATTTATCTTATAAAGGTTAAATAATTGTGGATAAAAAGGAAGATACACCCCTGCCTAAGCCCGGGCTCTGCCCTACTTTTATTTACTGACACAAATGTGCCCTGAGCGTCTTTGTCTTTGAATTCTTTAGCTTAGTAAATGAGCCTGGAAGCAACTAGTCTTGCACATCCCATTTATACTGAAGAGTTTTTGGCTTGTTAACTGTTTGGATCTCGTTGTGTGTCTGTTCCACATCTGGATTCACACAGTTTCTCTGGTAGGGCGGAGTCATTCAAGCTCTTGCTTGCAGCAGCCTTTCTCCAAGTAAGTCTGAGTTTATTTTCTGGGAGGAAGGTGGGGATGAGATGGGAACCCCATCAGGAAAGGAAGGCAGGTGTAAGTCCTCCTCCTGCACAAGGGGAGAACACCACCCTGGCCAATGCTGGCAGCGTTATGGCCAAAGCATTACTGGGTTCCAGGGACTCCCGACCTGTGACTGTTGCAGGCTAGGACCTGTTTCATTTCTGGAGCCCAATGGTAGTCTGTTGTTGTGTTTGCCTGACCAAAGAAGAGACAGGTTTGGCTATTTATTGATTGAAAAGCCAATGGGATTTGACTATGAAGACAGGGGACTCTGGATTTCTTAAACAATATGTTTAGAGGGAATTGTCATCAAGTAAAGCATCAATTTCTCTTCTTTCAGAAGAAATATCTCTATTTCAAATGCATTTCAAGCATTTTGTTAACCTTAATACGGCTACAAGATCATTCTTTCTGTAGAAAAGGGAAAAGAAAATTCAGAAAGCCCACTTTGGCAAGGCCACAGAAATAACTGAGCAAGAGCACTGTTCCTTTCCTGGTTCTGTTGCTACAAAGTTATATGATGGTAATACATTTGGGAATAGTTTTCTTTGATTGGGTAACAGGACCAGAGTTTTTTCCATGTGCACAGAGAGGGAAAGAATATTTATATTGCTGTTAACACAGCTCGGAAAGTTATATCCCTAGTGCATCAGTGGTAGCAGACAAATAGGATTCGAATAGTATATATAGCATACTGTGTGCCAGAGGTGGCTGAGAAGCCCAGCAGCTCCAGTTGCAGGAACACAGTTTCAAGTAAGAGAACAGTCTTACTCACTTAACTTGCTAATATCGTCCCCTAGCAGGTACGGCAATAAGCAGCCAAACATGGTATCCATTATAGACTCATGTCTAATTTATTTCATGTTAATGAAGTTTATAATTACATGGTATCATTTAGTAGAATTGTTTACTTTCTCCCATAAAATCACTGAGTCTTCAGATGGGGCTTTTTGGCTGTAGTTTAGGTGCAATTAGCCTTTTAAGTATAGCATGTGTTTTATTCTGTCAATAAGGTGCTGTAAGAGGTAGTAGCATTCATAAATACAAAGAGCGGGAGCTTCTCTTTTTCCCAAGACCATCTTCCATCTCTGTTCCTTCATGTATCCTATGAAGAGTGGTCCTTTGAATGGAGATCCATTTTGTGCCCCTGTAAAACTAAGAACTGAGTGAAGCAAACCAAGGCCACGCTGGAGTAAGTGCACATTGTTTTCCCTTTGGCTCCAAGCAGCTGTGATTCAGAAGGCTCAAACTGCTTCATTTATTACTGTGTTGTGCAGTATTTTTCCTTAAAAATGTTCTACGTCTTCTGTGTTTTGGAGGAATCACAGGGACATTCACAGCCAAGCAGTGTCTTTGGTGTGATTCCAACTTACTGCAGTATATGGGGGGAAAGAAAAGTCCCTGGAGCCTTGGAGGAGGTGCAGGACCTGAATGTATATACTTCAGGCTGCCTACAACATGTGTGCCAGACTTCGAGATGACTTTTCGGGAGTGTAAATCCAGACCACGAGGTCCGTGAGGAAACATCCAGTGCCTCATCCTTCTCTTCTCTCAAAGCCCATGTGTTGCCTTGGAGGAAGACTGATGTACATAAGGTTCAGTGGAAGGCAGCTGTAAGATTGTCCCTTCCCTGTGCTGTGACATTACGGTTTGTGGTATGAGATAACTAGCAAGGTTTTGGATTATTTTGGGTTTTTGCCTATGGGACCTATGTCTTAATTTTCCTATAAGGAGAGAATTTGGGGGCGAAATACTTAAGCCAAGATTGTAGCAAAATGGAACAATGATCTCTGGCCCTGAGGCCCTAAAATCTGCACAGGATGGAGGAAGAAAAGATGCGCAGAAATGACGTAGTAGTGTTCATGGAGCAAAACAGTAACAGCTAGCTGGGATTTGGCTCTCGGTCCATTATCCTGATCATTGACCACGCACAGATTAGTTTCTTTAAGGAAGATCATTAATTACCACATGCAAGTACTTGAATAGTAGTGACTGTAAAGCAGGGCAGTTGAGATTAATGAAGAAGACAAAAAGAATTGTTTTACCAGAGGCGCTCAGTGATTAGGATATGCATTTTGCACAAAGTATTCAGACTTCACAGACTCAAGGTAAAATGTCATGGAAAGGAAGCTGGAGAGTATCTCAGTAACAACTATGAGGCCTGTAGTGATCAAAGGAGTTAAAATTGTTGTAAGGCAACAGTAAGCAAAATAACCCCATTATAAATTAATACATATTATATAATTCCATAACTCTTAGTATACTGGAATGAACAACATTATTTCCCTAATTTGTATGTAAAATCTGACTTTGCCAGTTCTTTTCAAAAGGCCATATATTGAAAATGTGGATTATCTCTTGATCCTTGGAATTATACAAGGTAACGTGATGGTAGAGTTGGCTTCAAGATTCAGGTAGAGACACGATGGTTTTGAAGTTGACAGTGATTCTCTTTTTCAAAGGAGTAAGACATAATTACACTGTGTCCTTCATGTGCTCTGATCTTCTTTCTTGTGGCTGTAAACTGACACTTGTCAAAACTGTATCTGTGTAGTAGCATTTCTGTATTTTATATGCATATCCATGAGTGTATTAAACACGAATGCTAGGGATGTCATAAGGTAAACAGCCTTTTTTCTTAACAGCTGTGACTTTTCAAGTACTTGCTGAGAGCTTTGAGAAAGGATTCCTTGATATGTTGATTGATCTCTCAGGCACACAGTGTTTCATGCAAAGGAAGTGTAAAATAACCTGCAGATGTCCGTGTTTTAAAATGCGTATGCAGATAGTAATTTGCTACGCCCTTTCCTGTGAGCTGAGTTTCTACTAATGTGTGTTTTCTGTGGTTCTATGGGGAGCTGCTGTTACTGTAGAACTCGGTTTCTAGTCTGAACAGTTGCTTATTCACAGTCTCTCTTTTTCACTTTAACCTGTCCCTGAGTTAGAAGCTATGCAAAATGTATGCACTGAGTAGCTCTGAGCACTGGTGGTTTGAGCCTCTGCTTCTGGTGTCCTTGACTCTCACTAATCAATAGCAAGCAAAACAACTTCGGCATCAGCAGCAGTACTGTAAAATGAAACGTCTGTTGGATGTTGTGCTGAAAGGCGTGAGGGTAATGACTCTCCTTGAGAAAGATGCAATATTATCTCCTTAAGAGCGCTGAGCGCAAATGTTTCGTTTTCCTCTGCCTGCTTGGAAAATGAGCGTATCTTCCAATGTATCATACTGGGAAATAAAACAAAAACTCCAAATCAGACTAAGGAAAAACAGATTAAGATATTAAATGGTCCCTGTTAGCAATGTAGAGGACTACTACCCCAAAATATTTTTGTCCTCTAAAATGCTGAGTAGACAGGTCAAGTTTTACTGTCTCTTGGTTCTAACTCATTGCACACTGAGAACAGTTTTATAGGGTCTATGCTAAAGTACATATAATTCTGTTTGACCCCCTTTCTCATTTTATGAACTTGTAGATCAATGAAACAAACCATTAAATAGATTGAATGCTGCCTGCAACACTAATGTTAATGGCTCCAATTTTATTAAGCCCAGTTGGAAATCTCATACAGGTGGCAGCATCCATAAAACGGCAAACTATGTTTCTTTATCTGTCGAGCATAAATTCAAACATTAGAGGAGAAGCTAGTAATAGTGGAAATCTTTCTGAGATGTTGCAGTGTTTTGAAGATTTGTGAAGGAGAGCAAAAACTTTAAGTTTTGGATTACTATAAATAGTCCTGCGCTTAATATGGTGTTGTATTGTGTACTGCCTTCCTGGCTTTGTAAGCAACTGGAGCGCGTAAGAGGATCAAGACTCTTTATCTTGATGTACAACTTCATGGGATAGGCTGTTTAATCTCTTCCGGTCCTAGTTTTTCCAATTACTGAGTAAATTCAGTTATTGGAGAATCTGATCTGTAAAGAGAGGCTAATGTGAAATTCATATCCAGAATTTTCTGGGAATCCCTGGCCTCCTCTGGCACGCACTCTTAAGAGTGTGTCCAAGTCCGTGTGTTTTTAGGTCTTCGGTTTCATTTGTTTGTCTTCTATCCATGCTTTTATCTTTAGTTAAAGCAAGTAATTACATATGTCATTAGAGCTCTTAATGACATGAATGAAAATTGTTGTCGTAGTGCATCATGAGGTAAAAGTGACGTTTAGAAATACAGAAAAAGTTGTATTAAATGTTTATGTTTTGTGCTCTGAAACACAAGGCAGTATATAGCCTTGCAAAATCTGAATAATCTTGAGCAAAAGTATTAATTTCTTCAGATAACTTTATCTTCTGCTGCTGTAAAGGCATTGCTCTAAATAGGCAAGACATTATTCTTCTTCGTGCAATGAATGTTCTCCAGAAACCTATCCAGGAGCCTCTCCTTGCTTTCCGATAAAAATGAGGTGACATTTTGTCCTCATTTTGCCATAGCATTAGCCAGCACTGCTCTTTGAAGCAGTGGCTCAGATCCAAGAAGCAAATAAAACTAGGAATAAAATGTTTCATTTAGTTTTCTACTTGAAATCAGAAACTGACAACTTTGATAAGAATACCTTTTTAGGTAATGCAACTGTGTCTTCTCTTTGCCTTCTTCCCTTCTACTCAGCAATTTGAGCTTTCTCTGTATAAATCACTGTGTATTTAAAAAGATACATGCAGTGTTATGCTTGTTTTCCTCCAAGCTGGAAAAAGTAAAAATGTGAATTTATTTTTGCTTCAAAATACTCTGTTTAGATCAAGGCCCCAGCTAGCATTCTGCTTAGGATGAACCATATATACTTAGGGAAGAGAGAAAGTGTAACGAGACTTAACATCATCGAAACTTTCATTTGCTCAGCACTTCTTTTGCTTGTGCTTTCTCTTGAATGTTTGGGTTTACATACGTGATCTCCAAATTTATGCAACTCATATGTAGAGACGTATTTGGAGAGTGGGATGTGAGTATATGAAACTTAGCTTTGAATTCAGTTAAGTAAGTCATCATTTCAGGAAACTTTTGTTTACACTGGCAGAGTTTAGGTCAGGTTTGTAATGACCAAGAAAGTTTACCTGCAGACCTCCTAATTTATGTGCAACTCATCTGAATATATTATTTCAAATCCTGTTGGGAGTAAAGAGGATTTTAGACAACTAAAATTTATTATCTCGCTTTGTGAAAAAAGTTCAGAAGACGACCATGTCACAGAATTTTCCTTCCTGAATGACTCAGGAGAAGGCTTTATAGGGAACATAGCCTGTGAGAAGGGGCGTGATCAAGATTGTTTGGGACAGGTAGAAATTGAGCCTGTGGATGTCTGACTATCCCTGTAACAGTGATGTTCCCAAATATAGCAATACGTTAGATGTTATGATGCCGTTAACTGCTCAGTTCTGTGTTGTGTGCTGGTTAAAGGAGGAAAAAAATTGGCTTCTTTACTTACAAAAAGGATCATGTTTATGAAAGATTCTTCTTTCCAAATGAGCTCAGTATGTATAAACAAATGACTTTTTTGCTATTATACTTTTCTTTTTATGCTTTCTTTTCTAATGAATAGAAAACCTAAAACCAATTGGTCTTAAAGGCATTTTATTCAGCTCCCAGTGAGAGTAAACGATCATCCAGTATTTGAGATACAGATCTGCAAAGCTCTTGAGATAGTCAGTTCTGGTACTTCCAGAAAGACAGTTGTAGGATTAAAAAAAATCTTCACTGTTGGCTAAAGTGGATCCACATTAATAACGTAATTCAAACTACACTTTCTGTAGCACATTCTTTTTGAGGGAGAGCAGTTAGATGTAAATTTGATGTCCCCAAAATAGTGTATTGCAAAATCATTATGATGGTTTTTTTAAGACTAATAACTAATGTAGTGCTCACTTCAAAACTCTCTGAATGAAGAGCTGATATTGGAAATAAAGTATCAGCAGGTTACATTTTAAACTACTTATTCTTTATTGTCTTGGACACATTTGCATCTGAGAGAGACAGATACATAGTGTTCCCTTAAAGGATGAATGAAGTTCTGTCATTCCTTGTACAGGGAAGATGGATAGTTTTTTTTCTCTCTTCCACTTTTATTTTGAGTTTTTTATTTTTATTCTTCAGTGTACTTTCCTCTGCAAGTCTGAGTGACAGGTTACATAACAGCAGTGTTTTTTTAAAACTAATATTAAACTCAGAATCTAGTGCCCTAGCAGCAACTCAAGCCAAAAATCAGGCTTTGCCTCAACCTGCCTGGCTGCCTGCTTTTGCACTCTGAGAAGCCAGGACATAAGATATTATCTTCTAAATACCCACTGCCTGTAATATTTTGCCTGTGTTAACTCAATGACTCCAGATAGTCAGAGAGCTAGTGTACAAATTAAGTCCAGATTGCCTGCTGCGTAATGGGTTTGGAGCTTTTTCTACTTTTCCTGGAATCATTTTTTTAAAGCACTTCTGTTCAGTTTCTGCGACTTTATATTTCAGTCTTTTTTTCTTGCTCTATTTCACCTTTGTCCTGTCAGAGCCTTCCTACTTCCCCCTCACCTTCCCATTGCCCCGCAATTATTCTGTATTTCTATGTCCTTTTGTTTTCTACATACTTTACATGGTTGCTTTCCATGTTGCAGTGAATAAAGTCACTCTTCTTTTTTTAACTTTTTTTTTCTATTTTTTTTTTACTCCTTTCTATTAGCCGTTTTTTCCTTTAAAAGATGTATTTGTTGTGATTCATTCTTGTGCCTTCAATAGGACTTGCATGACTCCCTTGTGGTCTTCTTGACTCCTGTAGACTGCTCAGGTTGTAGGTCTGATTCTTCTTCCGTACTGGTTGTTTTAGACATCACTGTTGGCTACTAGAATTACTAATAATACTTACAGATGCAACTAAGAATGTAAGCAGATCTGTTGCCTACCTGTGTTTTCCATAGTACTGTACACGTAATAGTAGTCCACTGATTAACAACTTCCCAAATGAAAATTCAGAGATGGCTTTAAACATTGCAATGTGATTCACTGTGATTGCAGCAGACAAGGTAAAGAACAAACTAAAACGCCAGAAAGCTTTCACTTGCAAGGATTTGCTTTGCTGATAAAAGTGTGGTGTAGGTGTGTGTTTTTATATAAATACATATATCTGTCTTTTGATTTAGTGTCCAAGAATGTATGCAATCTCACAGATTTAAGAAAACAAAATTTCATGGAGAAGGTCTGAATGGCCTAGGAAATTTGAAGGGAGGGTAGCAACTGTGCAATAACTTTAAATTTTTGACTGCCAAAACCCTGATGATTCATCTCTTTTCCATCTAACCTGTAACTTCCAAACATCCTTTAGAAAGTTACTTAGGAGGTAGTGATTAACTCCAGTGACTCAGTAAAAATACTGCAGAAATGCCTGGAAAAGCCTGCCACCTTTGTACCACGTGCAGAAACATATCCTCAGTCTTCCTCAAACTCTGTTACATAGAGTTTACAACATGCATTTGCAGTTACGAAGGTCAACATATTTTATAGCTGTGCATTTTTCTTGACATTACAGTAAGTTTTTAGGGCAGTGATGTTAATACATTGTGTGACAAACTGAATTTTCAATGATACAATGTTGGTTTTGAATTCTCTCATTGAGAGTTTCATGGTATGGCAAAACTATATTAATCCACTTTAAGATATTTTATGTATGTGAGAGGAGGCAGTAGAAGTAGCAAGGACCCAAATGATGTAAGCTTCCGTGAGAGCACAGATTCCAACAATAACGTAGTGTTCCTCACAAGTTCTTAAGATATTTGTCACTGCATGTGGATATGACTGTAAGAAACTCATCTTCTCAATGTCAGTCTAGCCTAGAGCCTTCCTTTCCAGGTGTAACAGTCACTGTGCAGAAGCCTTGCTGTTCTGAGATGATGCTCACTTCCAGCTGATGCTATATTTTTGTCTGTGAATTAGCCAGGTCCCTTTGTTTCTTCTTGACGCCCTACACTAAACCTTATCAATTGTTTCAGAGAAAAGGAATTTTGCCACACCCTTTTGGAAATGTTCGGTGGCTCAGAGCTAGCATGTTCATCTTCTGAATGTGCCGTTACCTACTTTCAGGGTAGAAGTACTAAGAGTGCCTCAAGGTTAGAACAAGCAAGAAAATGCAATGTAAATGCATTAGTCATTGTTACTTGATTACTAACAGTCAAATTCAACTTCTCTTGAAATTGATAGGATAAGTCCCGTTCATTTCAGGCAGATCAAGATTTGGCTCTGACTTGTTGTTTAAAGTGCCGTGGAATATAGATAAGCTTTCACTCTATAATTGAGAACTTACTAAAGCAAGGTACAAAAAAAACCCCAAGCAAACAAAAACTACTGGTGAAGTTTACATTTGCAGGGTAATAGTTCAACTCTCACATGTTTTTTTTTCAAATGTCATTAGAACAAGTAATGGTGACTGTCAACAGTGATGTACATAATAACTCAACTGCATCAGATAACAACAGACTGGGTAAGACAATGCTGTTCTAGGAAGTATTTATCCTACGGGGTCAGATAGTTGGATTTCACACAGGGCCAAACATAACCTTCTTTAACGTTAGTTAGTCGGGTAACATTTGGGGGGGGATAGGTGCACAGAGTTTCTCCTTCCTCTCAGAACAGAACAAGGGTTTTTACTTTTGTTTCAATGTGCCATCATATATAGGTGTTGATTTTTAAGTTCCTGTTGATGTTTAGGAACAATAATTTTTAAGATAATTAACCAGTACTTCCCCCAGCTCCACTTTTTTCTGCCATTACAAAGTCATTTAATGACATTAAGGGCAGGAGCCTGTCTGGAGCAGGCAGAAGGGATGATGTGCACAGAGCTAAGGTGTGAAACAAAGATTACAGAGGTATTGTACCAACAGTGACTCTGTGGTATAGCGGGGTTCCCTTCGCTTAGTCGATGGGCCAGACCAAAGACAGAGAACTTGATTATGTTCCCAGTCTTGTTTACCATAGGCCTTTGCCCAAGGCAGGACACCTGACTGAGGTTTTTCTGGCCCATGCATAGTACAGTCCCTGGCTGGAGAATTCTGGTTTTATTGTGTTACAGCTCAGTATGAATATTCTGATATGTTAAAGACAAATGAGTAACACGCCTTACACATTTTTAACAAATGAACAGAATTGTTGGCCACAAGATAGAGCTAATGTTGTCGTTTTCATAAATTCATGTACTTTTTTTAATTTAATATTTTATGTACGCTTTAAATGCACTTTATGTTTATGTGTTTGATTGTCAAGTATTCATTTGTGTTTGGACTTTTATATTAATTTTTCTTTGACTTTCTTTTAAAGCATGATTTCTCATATTTGATTTTATTTCTTTTAGGTTTTGTTTTATTTCATAAGATCCCACTGGATGGGTAAATGAAATAAGGAAAAGATGAGAAAGGGGCTGTTGAGCTTGTGGAAGCTGTATGCTGCACACAAGGGAGTGGACAGTGTTCTTGCCCAGTGAAGTACCACTTCCCTTGGACTTCTCTTTTAGGCATTGTTTGTGTTTGGAGAACTGTAGAAATACATTCAAATCAGTAGCTGTTTTTGCAAAAGCAGGGTGAAGCCAAGCCCTGAGGCAGCTATAAAACTCAAGAAAGTCTAGAAATAAGCTATCACACTTTTTCCTGTTGCCTTGTCCTCACTGTGTCTTCCAAAATGACATCGAGATGAAATTACATTATACTGTTTCCTTTGTCAATTTTTTTTCTGTTCGAACTTAACTGGAAAGATGTTGTTTTTATAAATAATATTTATCAAAGGTGAACTGCAAAGTTGCTTTTATTTTATTGCATTAGTGGCTCTGCAAAACTTCTACAAATGCTTAATTTGAGCATGTGTGTAAACTCATTGATTTCAATGGGAATGCTCATATCCTGAAAGGTAAGTTCTTGTATATTTTCAGGATATGGCCTTAAATCCTAAAGCGGTAATTTGCAGAGCTGGCCCTGCAAATCTCGTTTGTGTATGTGGTTCCACTGACTTTACCAGGCAGGTGGAGAGTACAGAAAGGTGGCAATACTTTTGTTTGTTAGGGCGTTTGGGTATTAAACCAGTGCCATCACTTACACATTCAGTTAGGTCGTGCTTATTCAATATAGTCCGTAAGTTTGAGTAAGTGTACAAATCTTTAGTAGGCTGGAATGCTGATTCTGAGCCAAGAGCAAGAATAACAACACTACAAGGTCGGTCCTTCAGACTGTATACTTGCAGGCCTATTTAACTGTTCATATTTAACTGTGAAGTATACTTCAAAGTATGCTTCAGTATACTTCAGAGGAGAGCCTACTCTCTTCTGAGAAGTTTCCTATAACAACTAAAGCTAAATGAAGGCACAAGCATTTTGCAAGAGAAGGAACAGCATTTAGATAGAGTGTTAGACATTCACTTTCATACTATTTACCTATCAAACCCTGAGTTTATGACTTGATCTTTTCAGTTTAGGGAATCATTGTAAGAAAGATGAAATTTCTGAATTTGTAACTGAGAGTTACCTACAAAGACTAAGAGCAAGACTGAGACAGATGCTTACATTTTCTATGCATTTTTATTACATTTCAGAGCTAGGGTTTGATTTTACAATCAAATTAAGGATTTGATCCTTAGAATCATAGAATGGCATAGGCTGGAAGGGACCGTAGAGATCATCTAATGCAACCTCCCTGTCATGGGCAGGGACACCTCTCAACTTACAGTCACGGTTAGTAAAAAATAAAAAATGGTAACGTTTTGTGTCTCTTGTGTTTGCTTTTCATTGTTTGGTCTTTTTAATTTCAGGCATTTTCACTCTTCCATTGAAACACTGTTGTCTTTTCTTTTTCTGTGGTCTTTTACAGCATATACCATCCCTCTCTTTATACAATACTACCTTGACTCTTTTGGTTTATCTCCATATACTTAGCAGCTTCTTGCCTTTTAAGACTCTCAGTACTGCGACTTTTTTCTTGTGTTCTCTCCAGTCTCTCGCATCCAAGTTCTTTATTC